TGGCGTCGGAACGACGGTGGTAGCACCAAGACTACACAAAGCAGAGGATCCTACGCCTGACGCAGCAGGGGAGGCTACGCTAGACACACCTACGCTAGGCAACAGTGAGTAATAAGCTGGAAGCACACTAGAGTCATCAGCATACATCACATGCAGAGCAGCAACAATGGCATCCATGTCCAAGTCAAAAATCGGAATACTACGTCTAAGCATGCTGTGCCAGTCCGGGAGGTCTGGCGACGGGCCGAAGCGCTGACGAAATAGGTCGTCCAGGCGACGAAAGCAGCGGGGAGTGGAGTGACCGATCTTACCGCAAACGAAGCCGCGGCGAGGACCGGTCTGGATCTGGTACTGACAACGTCCGCCGCCAGAGCCACCACTCGACACACCACCACGCGCCCGGCCACCGCCAGCGCCGGGCCACCCGGGCGGGAGGACACTCGTCTGCCGTGTCTGCGACGGCTGCTGCGGCTACTGCGAAGGCTGCGGCTGCTGCGAAGGCTGCGGCTGCTGCAACTGTAGGGGCGGCGGCTCAGCTGGACTGGGCAGGGTCCCCTCGTCCGCTCCAGCACCAGATGACCCGACCCCACCACTACCCCCTCCCGCACCCCCGCCTCCGCCTCCGCCGCGCCCAACCTTGGGGCGGCGGCCCTTCCCCGAACGAAACTGCGCTGAAGCAGCAGTCTCAGCCACTGCGGCAGAGCCGTCAGAGAAGGTACACTGAGCGGGGGCACAACCCTGAAAGATAGGGACCGGCACGGCACCGCTCGCCTGGGCGATGGAGCGGTGACGGGTCTCTATCACAGTCAGGGTGTCTACAAAGTCAGTGAGGGTGAGGTCGGCGGGGTGTATGCTAAGGAAGCGGTCGCGTGCGACAGCAAGGCGGTCAGGGAGGCGGGTGGCAAGCAGGTAGAGGGTAGAGGTAATGGGCGGTTGGTGGGCTCTAAGCTGTGCGTCAGTGCAGGCAGCGCGCCAGGTCTCATCTATCGAGCGCAGGTGGGCAGCAAGGTCAGAGACAGTAGGGAAGGATGCAAGGTCAGGAAAGAGCATCGGGAGGATCAGGCGACCCACCGAGGCAGCCGGAGGAGTGGAATAGCGCTGGATAACAGCATCTAAGTATGCCTGAGCAGTGGTGAGGGACCTAAAGCGAGGGCGCTCGGACGGGGGAAGGGCATTGCTAATGGCAAGCTGGGCGACAGCATCGCGAGAAAGCCAGACAGAGCGCGCACGGGCAGTGGCAGCAGTAGACTCGCGCTCGGTGGGGGTGGAGTCAGCGGGCAAAATAGCAGGGGGGTCTGGGCAGGGGAGCGTACCGTCAAGGTGTGCGGAAAGCGGTTCGCCATCCTGCCGCTGGCCAGTGAGTTGGCGGCGGAGGTCGGCAAGCCACGCCTCGAACTCCAGAGGCTAGCCTTCAGCGTCGAAGCGAAGCTCCGCCGCCATCAGGAACAGCGCAGTGCGGTGTAGGGCAGTGCAGCAAGGTGGAGTGCGGTGCCGTACGGTACTGTGCGGTGCAGTGCGGTGCCAGGCAGTACAGGGTGGTGAGGGGCGGTGCAGTGCGGGGCAGTACTGTGCAGGGCAGTGCAGGGCGGGGGGGGGGGGGGAACCGTACCAGTGAGGAGGACCGGGGCCGGGGCAGGGACGAGCGCAGGGGCCGGGCCGGTGCAACGGGGCCGGGCGGGTGCGACGGGGCCGGGCCGGGGCGACGGGGCCGGGCGGGTGCGTCGGGGTCGGGCTGGTGCGACGGGGCCGGGCGGGCGCGACGGGGCCGGGCTGGTGCGACGGGGCCGGGCGGGTGCGACGGGGCCGGGGCGGTGCGACGGGGCCGGGCAGGTGCGTCTGGGCCGGGCCGGTGCGACGGGGCCGGGCAGGTGCGACGGGGTCGGGCGGGTGCGACGGGGCCGGGCCGGTGCGACGGGGCCGGGCAGGTGCGTCGGGGCCGGGCCGGTGCGACAGGGCCGGACGGGTGCGACGGGGCCGGGCGGCTGTGACGGGGCCGGGCAGGGGGCGACGGGGCCAGGCGGGTGCGACGGGGCCGGGCGGGCGCGACGGGGCCGGGCTGGTGCGACGGGGCCGGGCGGGTGCGACGGGGCCGGAAGGCGTGACGGGGCCCAGGAGGGGGGGGGGGCTCTACGCGGCCCAGGAGGGGCGCTCCGGGGCCCAGGAGGGGCGTTACGAGGCCCAGGAGGGGCGCGACGAAGCCCAGGGGGCGCACTACGGGGCCCAGGAGGGGCGCGACGGAACCAAGGAGGGGCGCTACGGGGCCCAAGAGGGGCGCGACAGGGCCCAGGAGGGGCGCTATGGGGCCCAGGAGGGGCGCGACGGGGCCTGGGAGGGGCGCGACGAGGCCCAGGGGGGGCACTACGGGGCCCAGGAGGGGCGCGACGGAACCCAGGAGGGGCGCTACTGGGCCCAGGAGGGGCGCTACGAGGTCCAGGAGGGGCGCGACGGGGCCTGGGAGGGGCGCGACTGAGCCCAGGAGGGGCGCTACAGGGCCCAGGAAGGGCGCGACGGGGCCTAGGAGGGGCGCTACGGGGCCCAGGAGGGGCGCTACGGGGCCTAGGAGGGGCGCGACGGGGCCTGGGAGGGGCGCTACAGGGCCTAGGAAGGGCGCGACGGGGCCCAGGAGGGGCGCTACGGGGCCTAGGAGGGGCGCGACGGGGCCCAGGAGGGGCGTGACGGGGCCTGGGAGGGGCGCGACGGGGCTCAGGAGGGGCGCTACAGGGCCCAGGAAGGGGCGCGACGGGGCCCAGGAAGGTGCGCGACGGGGCTAGGGGGGTCGCGACGGGGCTAGGGGCACGACGGGGCTAGGAGGGGCGAGCGGAAGCGGTAGGTGGGGGGGGATCCTAACCTACGCGTGATACCATAACAAAATCAGAGAAGTGTTAGTTGATAGAGTGAGAGTACACACAGATATACCTAAGTCTTGTACCCTCTAAGAGATGACCCTATACAGTCTATACAAACATGACAATTACACATGTTTGACATTTCAGTCACGCGAACTGTCGGGCTCTTTTCAGTTGCGGTTAGAGTGCATAGCGCAAATAGCCCGAACAGGTACATCACCGAATAGGTACTTATAGAAGATATAAAAGTAGCTTGTACAACTTTAATTATCAACTTGTTCTTCAGTAAATTCTGGTCAACACTTTACAAGTTCTAAGACTTCCGCTGTCTTACTAGTATACCATGCTGTTAAAAGACTAGCTAGGAAGGAAGGGCGGTCATGAAATGGCGTGAGCGTTTAGGAGCTAGGAGCTAGGAGAGTAAAGTTTGATGAGAGAAAAGAGGGTGAACTAGAAAGAGAGAGGGATACAAGGAGGGGATTGTACCCTCTACAATAGAGTTCGATAACATACCAAGCCTACAAATTATATAACACAATATATAATTTAATACACTCCCTAGGCTTGGTAGTGGCAAGCCCACACACACCCACAACCCCTAACCTAGCACCCCCATTCCAAGCATCAGCCACGACTACTCCGGCGGGGCCAACCCCCATGGCCCGTGAAATGGCAATGACGACAGCGGCGGTAGTGACGGCAGCGTGCGGCGGCAACAGGCCAGCGGCGACAGGAGCGGCTCCGGCGGCTTGTGCGTCAAATGCGACTACAGCGGCTCCCGCCCTCTCGGCGGCATGGCCAACCTCCGCGGCGATGGGGTCCCCCACGAGTCAGGGGAAGGAAGGCGGGGGGGGGGGAGAGGGGGCGAGTCTTCAGCGACGCGCCATAGATGGTGCGGCGCTTACTGGCGGGACGGCGGAACGGCGGCACGGGCGCATGGCGGCTCGACGAAGCCGCCACGATACCTAGACATGGCCGCTACGGCTAGACGTCGATGCCACGATGGCGCGACGCCACGGCAGCACGTCTAGACGGCCGCGGTCCGACGACGACGGTGCCGTCACGGCTGGACGTCGACGCCATGACGACGCGATGCGACGGCAGCGCGTCGAGACGGCCGCGGCACGACGCGGCCAGCGGCAAGACGACGCTGCCACAGCAGCACGACGTGGCCGCCATGGCAGCGTGCGAGGGAGAAAATGAGTGCACGGTGGAAGCGTGGGGAGCAGGCCCGGGAAGGGAACCGACTCTGATACCATATTAAAAGACTAGCTAGGAAGGAAGGGCGGCCATGAAATGGCGTGAGGGTTTAGGAGCTAGGATCTAGGAGAGTAACGTTTGACGGGAGAAAAGAGGGTGAACTAGAAAGAGAGAGGGATACAAGGAGGGGATTGTATCCTCTATAGTAGAGTTTGATAACCTACCAAGCCTACAAATTATATAACACAATATATAATTTAACACATTCCAGCAAAGATCCTTGGTTAAGTCTTGAAGTATCGTAAGGCTGTAACACTGTCTCTGGTGTTACAACTTATTAATACTGGCTATTACTGGAGGTACTTCCAGTATTACTTTCTATTCCAAGTACTTGTGTCTGCAGATTCTATACTTAGTCTCCTGCACCACCTTTCGAATTCTTTCATAAGTGATGGACCATCACTATTAGCCCAAGATTGAAGAAGTCCTAACGTATATATATATGTGCCTTGTATATGCATGACTTTGTTCCACATGTAGGCATGCATTTGGTTGTGTTATGATTCTTGGGAGATTCTCGAAGGTTTGTTCGCAGTGATCAACAAAAAGTTGCAACAACCCTGCCCGCAAAGCCAAGTCTTGGTTCCTCGGCATTCTCACCGCCGCTCACTCCACATGTCGGCGCCACACTGCCCAGTTTTTTGCCTTTCCAAGGCCGAAAGAAAAACAGGCTGCTGCCCACAGCCTATCTACTCGTCACCTGACCGCTGAAGTGGGCAACGGGCAGTGAAGTGAGCCCAGTGCTGGGCCTTAGTCATGTGCCCATTCCTCCGCAAAAACCTTGATACTTTCTGGTTTTCTTCTGTCAATCGTGCCAGACCCAACTCCCAGGGCAAATGCCCAGCCGCACATCCCCACCCATTCCTCCCCACCTCAGCCACGTCCACCTCTTTCCTTCCTTTTCCTCGTCTAGTCTCCCCATTCCCCTTTCAACTGCCATACCTGGCTAGTTGCTGTGGCAGACTGGGTAGGGTGGAACAACCTCTATTCTCCAGCCTGTTCTTCGGACTAGGCCTCTTTCCCTTCTTCTAGGCTTTTGCGAGGTTGACCCGAGCTTAGAGGTTCGGCTGCCAGAGGTTGCCGGATCTGGGTCTGCTAGATCGGCTGATCTTGGTTTATCCGTCGCTGTCCGTGCAGCAGAGCCAGCACGACACGACAGGATAAAGTAGGATACGAGAACCGCGACGTGATCGCGGATCGGAAACCTAACCCTCCTCGCTTAATTGGGCCTTCTTAAATCGGCTCGATCGCAGCGCGTGACCGCTCACGGCGTTACTTCTCCGAGGTACGTAATCGGGCATTCTGGACGCTTGAGGGAATACTCTAGGGTATTGTATGCCATGGCTCGCCAGTCCCGCATTCGCCATCTCGCAATTTAAGCTGGCCATCTGAATCGTTAAGGACGATCGAACGTCCGATTGATCATGTTGACGTTGCGATCAAGCGAACACCTCTTCAGTGGCACCCTTGCAACTTGTTCTAAGCTCAATAGACTTGCCTTTCCTTCCGCGCTGTTCCAGTGTACGTGTTGTACACCAGACAAGAGAAGTCTCTTACTTCTATTGTCTTAATGAGCGCGATGTCAATACCTCTCCTTATACAGCTTGCCGTGACCCCGATTGTCCGCTATCGCGTGCGAGTGTAAGCCCAGTACCTCTCTGACCCACAATATCGCACCGCGCGGGTCGATCCATCTGAGGGGTGCCGAGCGAGTGCGAGCCCAATACCTTTGGCTGTGCCGCATAGTCTCACCCGTCAATTGGGTTGATCCTGCCGCCGATAAAACTGTTTTTTTTTTGTCATCCTCGTCCCGCGGCTCTTATTTTCCGTCTGATGTTTTGTCGGACCCCGCGCTACGCACCCTCGGACCCCCTCTGAGGCGCCTAAAAAGTGACATGGAACCTTCCCGGCTGTTCCCCCGGTTGCCCCCCGGCTGCCCCCCGGCTGTCCTCCCGTCTGTCCCCCCGCCTGTCCCCCCGCCTTACCCCCCGCCTGTCCCCCCGCCTGTCACTCCTCCAGGTCGTCGCCATGGGAGCTGACCCCAACCCGCGCTACGCCCCCCCGGATCCGACGCTTCCCGCCCCGTGGCGGGGGCTGGTTGACGGCTCCACGGGCTACCTCTACTACTGGAACCCCGACACCAACCAGACGCAGTATGAGCGCCCGGGCGGGCCTGCTCCGGCGGGCGTGGGCGGGGGAGGGGCGGCGGTGAACGGAGGGAGCGCGAAGAGCGCGCAACAGAATGGGGGGCACGCGGCGGCGGGTGGCGATGGGGGACCGCAGAAGGTGGCAGCAGCAGCGATTGGTGGTGGTGTCCAGGTGGGTTGGTTTCGTTTCGTGCGCGTGGTCCGCTTGGGTTTGGCCTGGTTGCGTAGGGTGTGCTTGGGTTAGAGGGGCAGGAAGAAGTGTCGAGAATTGCGGATCTCCTCCACCTAGTTGTTGGTGTTTCGGCTCAAACCTACCTCCCGAATCGGCTACGCTATCTCGTCTTTCCCCCGTCGTTTCTCTCCTTTCCGCCTTTCCATATCTCCCCTTTGCCACCGTCACCGTCGCTCCCTGTCCCTGCGCTTTTCCCCTTGAGCCCTACCTCTCGCAGCAGCACGTCAACGATAGCCGTAGGTGATTTTTGAGTCGACTCAAAATCCGTCCTTCTTCCCCTTTGCCACCGCTTCCTCCCTTTCCCTGCCCTCTCTTCCCCGTGTGCCTCGCCTCTCTCGCCTCTCGCGTCGCAGCACGTCAATGGCGCGGCTGCCTCCTCCGATGACGTCGCGGCTTACAAGCGAAAGCACGAGATCACCGTCGTGGTAAGTATCTTTCCCGTCTGTCCGCTGTCTGTCCGCTGTCTGTCCTCTGTCTGTCCTCTGTCTGTCCTCTGTCTGTCCTGTCTGCCGGTGTCTGATTGCTTGTGTCCGTCTGTCTGTCTGCATACCCGCGCCTTCTGTCGTTCCCTCCCCCCCTCACGCTCCTACGAACATTGTATTCTCCTTTATTTCGCGTGCTGCCCCGTTCTCTTTCTCTCGTTCTCCCGGCCTACCCCCCTCCCTCTGTCCCTGACGCACTCTTCTGCTCGTCCTCTCGCGTGCGCGCTCACTCCTCTCTACCTCCACTGTAATCTTGACCTAAGTCTCGTGGACTTGAGCTTTATTGTCGTCGTTCCGGTTAGTTCTTGAGTATTGCTTCGTGTGTGTGTGTGTGTGTGTGTGTGTGTGTGTGTGTGTGTGTGTGTGTGTGTGTGTGTGTGTGTGCGGCGTGTGTGCGGCGTGTGTCCCGGCGTGTGTGGTGGTTCGTGTGCTGCCTGTGTTTGCCTGAACCCTGTGCCGTGCATGTGCAACTGTGTCCGCTCACGCGCCTGCGTGCGTGTATGCGCGCGGGCCCCCGCTCGCCCGTGCGTGCGTGCAGGGCTCGAGCCTACCGCCGTTCTTGACCTTCGAGTCTGCTAACTTCCCCTCCGACATCTACCGCGAGGTACTGCCCCCTGCGTTGCTCCCTGCCTTGCTCGCTGCTCCGTGCCTTGCTCGCTGCTCCGTGCCTTGCTCGCTGCTCACTGCCTTGCTCGCTGCTCCGTGCCTTGCTCGCTGCTCCGTGCCTTGCTCGCGGCTCCGTGCCTTGCTCGCGGCTCCCTGCCTTGCTCGCGGCTCCGTGCCTTGCTCGCGGCTCCCTGCCTTGCTCGCGGCTCCGTGCCTTGCTCGCGGCTCCGTGCCTTGCTCGCGGCTCCGTGCCTTGCTCGCGGCTCCGTGCCTTGCTCTTTCCCTGCCGCATCTCCTGCCTTGAATCCTGCCTTTCCCTCAGCCTCCCAAACTCTGCACTTCATTTCCCCCCCCACCCGTCCAAACTCTCCCCATTCCCCCCTTCTCTTACCCGTCCTCATCCCCCCCTCTCCGCTGCAAATTCTCTCCTCCCTTGACATTCTCCCCCCATCATCTCCCCCCTCCTCCCCCCTCCCCCCGCCATTCCCCCTTCCGCCGCACCTCTCCCCCCCCCTCCCGCCTCCCCCTTCCGCCAACCCCTCAGCTCAAGGCGGCGGGTTTCCCCACGCCCACGCCCATCCAAGCGCAGTCGTGGCCCATCGCGCTCTCAGGCTCGGACGTGGTGGCCGTGGCTAAGACAGGCTCGGGGAAGACGATCGGGTACCTGCTCCCGGGGTTCGTGCACCTGCAGCAGCGGCGCAACAACAGCCGGCAGGGCCCCACGGTGCTGGTGTTGGCGCCCACGCGCGAGCTCGCCACGCAGATTCACGCCGAGGCCGTCAAGTTTGGGCGCTCGTCCCGCATTAGCAGCACGGTGAGCCGTGGGCCAAGTAAGGGGGCGATTCGGTGGTGGGGGGGGGGGGGGGAGGGGAAGAAGGGGAGATGCGGTTGGGGGGAGGGGGGGCCCGCAGGGAAGACGGGTATTTGGGGAGATGGGAGGGGGTGGTGGAGGGTGGAGGGTGGCGGATGGGATGTGGTGTTAAAGGCACATAGTTGCTTGCAGATGCAGACCCGAGGAGTCGTGGACATGAAATTGCGTTCGGAGAGGAATTTATGGAATGAGCATGGAAAAAGGCTGCTAGGTGGAAGGACAGACGGAAGGAAGGAAGGACCGGGGGGGGTGGGGAGAGGAAGGAAGGGGGTGGGGAGAGGAAGGAAGGGGGTGGGAGAGGAAGGAAGGGGGTGGGAGAGGAAGGAAGGGGGTGGGGAGAGGAAGGAAGGGGGTGGGAGAGGAAGGAAGGGGGTGGGAGAGGAAGGAAGGGGGTGGGGAGAGGAAGGAACGAGTGAGGCAGGTGAGTGGATTGGCTCCTAGGAGGAGGAGAGAAGAGAAGGAGAAGGTTGCAAAAGGGATGCATGCAGGGGCGTGCGCTCAAATTTCTGGTCTGGCTCAGAGGGACGCATGGTGGTGTCCTACTCTCTCTGCCACGCCACGCCAGACGAGTGCTTCATCCATCCTCTCTCCTTCCTCCCTTCCTCCCTTCCCTCCCACTTTCATTCCATCGCCTGTTGCCTCCCTCCTGTCCAACTTCTCCTTCCTTCCGCCTTCTTCCTCTGTCCAATGTACCCCCCCTCCCCCCCCCCCCCCTTTCCTTCCCCCTTCCCCTGTCTCGTCTGTCCACCGTTCTCGGCTCTCATCCCTTCCCGCCCTTGCCCGTTTCCTTTGCCCGCACTCCTTCCCTCCCTGTCTCCCTCCCCCCCCCCCCCACACACCACCACCTCCACTCCTTCCAGTGTGTGTACGGCGGCGCGCCGAAGAACCCGCAGCTGCGCGAGCTGCAGTACGGCGCGGACATTGTGATCGCCACGCCGGGCCGGCTCAACGATTTCCTCGAGGCCAACCAGATCAGCCTGCGGCAGGTGCGTGTGTGCATGCATGATGTGTGTGTTTGTGGAGGGAAGGGTGGGGAGGAGGGGGTGTTGACAGGTGGGCTTGCACGTGCGTGTGCGTCTGTGCATGTGTGCGTGTGCGTCTGTGCATGGGTGTGTGTTTTCCACATCTCTTACCGACACACCTCTCTCTCTCTCTCTCTCTCTCTCTCTCTCTCTCTCTCTCTCTCTCTCTCTCTCTCTCTGCCTGCTTCTGATATTAGTGGTGTGGCGTCGCCACCTCTTTGCCTCTTTTCCCAAGTCCATGTCGCATGCACGCATGTCCTTCTGCAAGGTCCTTTAAACACCCCCCCCCCCCCCCCCCCCCTCCCTCCTCCCCCTCTCTCCCCCCCTTCCCCCTCCCGTTCTCTATCCTGGTCCTGCACGAGGCTGATTGCACGCTGGCCATGGGGTTAAAGCAATGCGCATTCCAGTGCACCTCAACACGTCTGTTTATCCCCTTTCTCCTCCCCCCCCACCCCCCCTGCGCTTCGCTCTCGTCTCGCCCCAAGAACATGTCTCCTGCCTGGTGCTGGACGAGGCTGACCGCATGTCAGACGTCGAGTTTGAGCCAAGGGAGGGAATGGTAACACGCATACTCCTCTCCTGCCCCCACTCCCTCCCTGTCAGGTGTCCTACCTGGTGCTGGCGAGGCGGAGGCGGGTTGCATAAGCGCAGGAATGTTAACACGCATTCCTCGCTCTTACTCCCCTCTCCCCTCCCCGGTCAGGTCTCTTACCTGGTGCTGGACGAGGCGGACCGCATGCTGGACATGGGGTTTGAGCAATGAGCATTCGAGTGCACCTTAACACGTCTACTCACCATCCATCCCCCTTCTCTTACCCCCTCTCCCTTCTCTCCCCTGTCAGGTGTCCTACCTGGTGCTGGACGAGGCGGACCGCATGGTGGACATGGGCTCTGAGCTGCAGATCCGCATGCCGCTTCCTAGGCGCATGTTCTCTCCTCAACCGCTCCGCGTATCCCCCTAAAAAACAGGTGTCCTACCTGGTGCTGGACGAGGCGGACCGCATGCTGGACATGGGCTTTGAGCCGCAGATCCGCAAGATCGTGGCGCGCGTGCCGGGGCGGCACCAGACGCTCATGTACACGGCCACGTGGCCGCGCGAAGTGCGGCGCATCGCCGAGGACCTGCTCACGTCGCCCGTGCACGTCACGATCGGTAGCACCGACCAGCTCGTTGCCAACAAGTCCATCACGCAGGTGCGTAATGCTTTCTTTTCTGGGGGGGGTGTCGGGGGCTGGGTGGGCGGGCTGTTATTTCAAATCAAAAGGTACCGACCAGCCTGTCGCCAACAAGTCCATTACGCAGGTGGGTGGGATGGGAGCTGCCAAGTGGGTGGGTAGTCTGGCTGGGTGGGCTGGGCAGGTGGTCCGTGCGCTGTGCCGTTTTCTAGGGGGGTGAGTGCGCTGGTTTGGGGTCGGGTGAGTGTGCTTTTAAGTCAAGACATAAGGCACCGACCAGCTCGTTGCCAACGAGCCCATCTCCCTGGTTGGGCTTGTAGGAGGGGGCATATTGCTGCAGGAGCGATATAGAATGCACAGGGATGCAGTCAGTGGCAGAGACAGCTGATCCAAGCGTGCTGGGCCGAGTTAGTGTGGTCAGCTAGAGAACGAGGGGGGGTTTCTGTTGCAGAAAGAAGAATAGCGTCCGCGCTAATGAGCAAGGGGAGTCCAAAGTTGTTGAGCTCGCTGCAATATTGCAGCAGCAGTGGCGGCAGGGCAGCAGAAGCAGGATGAATGAGCAGCGAGAGATAGAGTTGCGTGCCTGGGCTTGGACACCACGTGCCTTCTTTTCGTGCCATCCCCTGAGTCCTTGAACCTACGATTTGTCGAACGGTTTGAGTACTGCATCAACCAAAAAAGAAATCCGCTCTAAAAGAAATCCGTTCTGAAAGAAATCCTCTGGTACTCTCTCACCGCATCCCCTGAGCTGTCGAACCCTAACCCCACTCCCGCTCCCTCCCCTCCTCTCCCATTCTCTCTTGCTGCGTCCGTCCCCTCTACCCCCTCCCCGTCCCCCCTCCCCTCCGCAGATCATCGAGCTGCCAGCGCCGTACGAGAAGCAGCGCCGGCTGGAGCAGATCCTGCGCTCCCTCCCCCGGGGCTCCAAGGTGATTGTCTTCTGCTCCACCAAGCGCATGTGCGACCAGCTCGCGCGCTCCCTGGACCGCGGCTTCGGCGCCGCTGCCATCCACGGGGACAAGTCCCAGCCCGAGCGCGACCACACCCTCGCCCAGTTCCGCTCCGGAGCCATGCCGACCCTGGTTGCGACCGATGTTGCTGCTAGAGGGCTCGACGTGAAGGATATTCGGTGCGTGATCAACTATGATTTCCCGACTGGGGTGGAGGATTACGTGCACAGGATTGGGAGGACGGGGCGGGCGGGGGCGACTGGGACTGCGTACACGTTCTTTGGGCCGCAGGATGGGAAGTATGCCAAGGAGCTGATTAAGGTGCTGGAGGGAGCAGGGCAGGTGGTGCCCCCTGAGTTGCACCAGATGGCTGCTAGTGCTGGGCCGGGCCGTGGGATGTCCAGGTGGGGGGGAGGAGGAGGAGGGAGGTCTGGTGGTGGTGGCTATGGCGGCGGTGGTGGGTATGGTGGTGGCGGGGGGGGTTACGGAGGAGGAGGGGGCTATGGTGGTGGTGGCGGTGGTGTTGGTGGTGGTGGTTTGTCTGACGCGGCCGCGTCTGCTGCGATCGCGTCTGCTGCTGCTGCTGCTGCCACCATAGCTGCTAGTGCCGGTCGCGGCGACGCTGGCAGGTGGGGAGGCGTAGGTGGAGGAGGAGGAGGGAGGGGAGGAAGCGACGACTATGGCCGAGGAGGGGGGAGGTCCGTGGGAGGGTATGGCAGCAGCAGGGATCAGGACAGGGACGGTTACAGGGGCCGATCGCCGCCGGGCAGGGACCGTGGGGGGGGCAGCAAGTATGATGATAAGGAGAGGGACCGGGATCGCGATACGGATCGCTACCCCAGCAGGAGAACCCGCAGCCGCAGCAGGAGCAGGAGCCGCGGGCGCAGCCGGAGCAGGAGCCGCAGCAGGAGCCCCCGGAGAAAAAGCAGAGAGACGCGCAGAGTTACCCGCAGCCGCAGCCGTTCCCGCTCTCGCTCACCCCCCCGCCGCCGCACCAAGAGCAGGTCCCGCACACCCCCCAGCAGAAGCCGCCGCAGCAGCCGCAGCCCGCCACCCGCCCGCAAGCGCCACAGCCGCAGCCGCAGCAAGAGCAGGAGTCCGGAGGCTCGGCGACGCCGAAGCTACAGCCGCAGCAAGTCCCCAGTTGGGAAGAGGGCGTCTTCCCGCAGCCCTGTGCGCAGCCCTGTGCGCAGCCCTGAGGGGAAGAAAGAGCAGCCTGGCAGCGCGGAGAAGTGAGGGAGAGGAGGAAGGAGGATGCCAGGATTGGGTGAGAATCCCGTGGAAGGAGACAGTTGGATGGATGGATAATGGTGGTGCGTGGATGTGGATAACACTGGGGAGGGATGAAGGATGGTATGGATGCTATTCGGAGGGATGGATGGTCTTTGGAATGTGCGAAGGAAAGTTTCGCCTAAGAAGCCATCAACAAAAAAAAGTAGAACAATTTTCCTAGGGAACCTTCTCTGGATTTTTGGGTTTACATTGGCTGCAAACTAATATTTTGAACCGGATATGCATGTACTGTGAGGTGGGTTCGGTGATTTGTAAGGGAGATTGGGTTCTGAAACCCTTCTGCCTAAGCTTGGTCTATTGCTGGAACCAGCATTGTGAGATGGAGGAACATGTTGTGAGGGGTTTTATGACATCCCCCATTTCAACGACGGTGCACATCCATTTTGACATCCCCATTCTGGACCTTCTGCTAGGAGACCCTTAGACTTTTAGCGAGGGCGGGCTTTACAACGCGAGTTGAAGCAGATTGGAGAATATCGGCCAATCCGACGCGACAACGGAACTCAACAGCGAGGGACGCCAAGTCACCCGAACTTTGCAGCGTCAGTAAAAGCGGGGGCTTGTCATGTGCAGAGTGAATTTGGCCCACCCTCCCTCGTTTCCGAGCCTGCGCTTCCCCTCTAGGCGACCTTCTGCTGGCGAAGGTCCAATCAGCCGTCGTCTTCTGTTACCTGGTTGGCGCGGATAGGTCAGAAAAAAAAAACCTTCGGTTAGCGAGAGGGTTTCCTTCCGCTTCCGCTTCTGTATTTTGGAGGGGGAGGGGGTGGGGGAGTCCTTCGAGGGACCACTTGAGCGCGCATGTGACGCGGATGATGCGGTGAAAGCACACGTCTGTCTGCTTTGCCGTGAGTCATGACACAAAAACAGGCGCTGAGTTGTACAGTACGAACGCACAGAGCACACATGAGCAAAGGGTTCACGATGCGCTCCCCAAATTTTGGCCAGCCCAAATGCTGGGGTTGAGAACTGTAACTTCATTGACTGTGGTTGTTTGCGCGATTATATATACGTGCAATCTAGAAATGCTCTTTCATCAACTACAGACAGAAGAAATAAGAATCTACCTGTAAAACTTCTGTACTCGGCGGGCCAGGAGCATCGGGCCGGGAAACAAAAAACCTCATCCCATCTTCTAGCATGATTTCTTCATCTAGCCCCTCCCGCAACAACGCTAGCAGCACCAGGAAAATGCCATATCCCTTCTAATGACGCAAGTCTAGGGACTGGCTACTGTATGCAAAGCTTGGAACCCTACCGTTTTTGAGTGAGTCCTGACACTTATCCACTTGGCCGAGACAGTGCACCGAGCCGAGAGGCTAGAGCTCAACTATACACCTACATACCTCTCCTAATTTCCGGCTCCTCGGTGTTTCTGTAGGCCTCATGGCGGGTCTTCCAGGCTTGTCGTAGCTAGATCTGTTGCACCTTTCAGTTCAACAGTCTGTGCCCCGCAATGTTCAGGGTGTCTGACAGTATTAAAAGTAAACTGGCGCCCTGGTTAGGCTGGCGAGAATTGATGCCTTCGCTACGTTCGAGTGCTCGTAACGGGAGCGAGGTGTCGGTCTAAGCGGCATGGATTGAACTGGGAGTCTACCAACACGTGGTGGCTTGCTGGTACTAATTGTGCTCCTTCTCCTCCTCATGCCTTCCCTCCCCCCACCCCCCCTCGTTGCCGTTATCGTGTTAATTCTCAGTATGTTCCGACTTCGTTGTGCAAGGCCGGGTTTCGTCGAATCTCAAGCCGTATTGCCTTCTGCATCCTATTTCTTGGACAAATCTCGCACCCTGGCGGCTATATTTCCTGGTACTTGCCCTGCTCACTTCTCTTTCCTTCGGTCCAATATGATTCTCAGGCCGTCACGTGGTGGTGAGCTCCACGCCTTGCGTCAACGCCACCGCGCTCAGGGCCTTATGCGTGCGTCTCGACGTGGCGAGCTTGTAGGGCAACACAAGTTGCAGGCAGGTTCAACAACGGCGGCTCGCGCTACCTCGTGAGCGGCAGCGATGTGACATCGGCTTTTTCGTTCCAGGCACCACATCAGTGCGCCTGTTGATGACGTGCACATTTGTCGAGGGGAGTTTCCTGATGTCCGCCATTCTGCACCGCGAATCTCTCGTGCGCTGCTAATTGTTGTCGCGGAGGCGGTATTCCACGGCTTGATGCATTCCTAGGCCGTTTCTTGCTGTCTCGCCCACGTTTCACGTATAGTTGCGAGCTGCTATCGAGTCGCCAATTGCACTGCTTCAAGCAGCCTCGAGCCTTTTTAAGCACGTCGACGATTCTCCAAGCCTGCTATATCCGCGTTCAGCCAGGGGGCTTATCTGACAATCGACCATGCGAGGCTCTCCGTTCCGTTCTCCCGCATTCGGCGGTGGGGTCATGCTGGCACCTGTGCATTCCGCGCATTCTCCGCATTCCTCCCCTCCGCCACCGCCACCGCGCACCTTCCCCCAGTCATCCTCGCCCACCCCACTCCCGGCAGCCGCAGTACCACCGCCGGTCCGTCGCTCTTCGCTCTCCCATGCCCTTGGGACTGCCCCGCCTTCCGCGCCCTCCGCCTGTTCGTCTGCTGCTTCGTCCGCCGGTGTCGTGGCCTCGGGAGATTCTTCCCACCCCGCAGCATGCGCTTCCGCCGCGCGCATGGGGGAATGCTCAGGTCCCAGCGGAGTACTAGCTGCTGAAGTTTGCGCTTCTTCCGCTTCCGCGTCCGCTTCCGCCGGCGCTGGCGGCGCGCCTGCCGTCTCTTCTTCCTCGTCGAGCAAGTCTGGTCGGTGGGATTTTTTTCGCTGGGCAGATGAGGAGGATGAGGAGGACGAGGAGGAGGAAGAGGTGGCAGAAGTGGAGGAAGGGGAGGAGGATGGAAGGGAGGAGGAGAGAGGGGAGAGGGAGGGAGGGGAGGGGGAGTATGACTATTCGTGCGCGGGCCCCGCGGGTATTAGCGGCAACGAGCTGCGGTGGGGGCGCGAGAGTGAGCGCATGAGCGCCAGCTTCAGCGACGCCCAGCGGGGCGGCAGCAGGATGGCGGTGGCAGTCACGCGGAGCGACAGTAGTCTTCCGATCACCCGGGACTTCAGCAGCAGCAGCAGAAATCTCAGCAGAGTCAGCAGCAGCGGCCGCGGTGGCGGCGGATCGAACAACCCGGACCGGGGGCTCTCCGCTTTCGCCGCCGCCACCACCGCCACCACCGCCGCTCCTTCCTATTTCCCTCGTCGCGCGTCCTGCCCCGCGTCTCCGTCGCACAAAGCGCCGCCGCCCGAGGTCACGTGCGCCCCTGTCGAGGGGAGTACAGCAGGCGGGCGCAGCCAAGGGCGCTCACCGGGTGGCGGAGGGATTGCGGAACGGGGGAGCCACCAACACGACCAGCGGTACCTGTCTCCGCCACCCGTCGGTGGAACCAATCCCCGGGCTGTGTCTCCGGTTCCTCGTGCTTCGGCCCTTCCTCCTCCTCCTGCTGCTGCTGCTGCTGCTGCGCCCGCCGCCCCTGCCGTGTGTCTCACTCTAGCGGAGCCTTATTCCGCAACCAAGAGCGCCCAGAGCATGATCAGGAGCAACGCGCCCGCGCCTTGCCCCGTGCCTCCCCCCGCGCCTCCGCCCGTCCTGGACCTCCTCTCCGCCGTCCGCGCAGGCCTCGAGGCGGGCGCGCAGCCAGTCTCCGCGCGCGGGGGCCTGGGCGGAGCGTACATCTTCCGCGACGAGTCTTGCGCCAACCTGGCCATAGTGAAGCCGACGGACGAGGAGCCCCTAGCGCCCAACAACCCCAACGGGTACGTGGGGCGCGCGCTGGGGCAGCCAGGGTTGAAGCGGAGTATCCGCGTGGGGGAAGCGGCAGGGCGGGAGGTGGCGGCGTACGTGCTGGACCATGGCGGGTTCGCGGGCGTGCCGTGCACGGCGCTCGTGTGGGCCGCGCACCCCGCGTTCCATGTCAACGCGCCGCAGCGCCACGCGCAGGCGCAGGTGCAAGCGCAAACGCAGGCGCAGGAACAGCAGGCGACAGCAATGCAGGAGGTGCGGCTGTGCTCGCTGCAGCGATATGAGGAGCACGACTACGACGCGAGCGAGCACGGCACGTCGCGCTTCCCAGTGGGCGCCGTGCACCGCATGGGCATCCTGGACGTGCGCCTGCTCAACACCGACCGCCACTCGGGGAACATCCTCGTCAAGAAGCTCAGCAGCGGCGGCGGCGGCGGCGGTGCGGCGGAGACGGAGGATAGGTGGAGGAGGAGCTTCTCGCATTCGCACGCGCACCTGCGCGGGGACGATGCCGTGCGGTTGATTCCGATTGACCATGGGTTCTGCTTGCCGGAGGCGCTGGAGTCGGCGTACTTTGAGTGGCTGCACTGGCCGCAGGTACAGGGTAGGGGGTGGGGGTGGGGGTGAGGGTGGTTGTGGTGTTTGAGGGATAAGGGTCGGGGCGTGGGGAAGAGGGTTGGGGGTGTCTCTTATCCACCGCACTATCGCTGCATGCACTTCTCTGCTCGTTCTCCGATGGTCCGTCGCCCCCCTTGTACTGTGCAGACTGCTCCCTTCTGCTCCCTGCTCCCTGCTCCCCCTCCGACTCTAGCGCCGCACCATCTTCCGACTCATCCCATGCTCTTTCTCCTTTTGTCTACGCCCCCCCTCTTCGGCATCTCTCCAGTTCTCTCCAGACGAGCTCGCTCGAGTACATAGCCGCCCTAGACGCCTCTTACTACATACGCTTGCTGCAATCCCACCTCTGTCTGCGCATGCTCGCCATCACCACCGCGCTCCTGCAGCCCTCCGCTGCCGTGGTCCCCTGTTGTTGTGGCCTCCTCTAGCGCTGCACCATCTTTCAACTCATCCCCCCTCCCATGCTCTGTGCCACCTCTTCCCTCCCCCATCCGGCCCCTCCCCCCCCCCCGCCCCTCCTCTCCCCCCTCCGCATCCCACTCCTCCCCAGGCATCTCTCCCGTTTTCTCCAGACGAGCTTGAGTACATTGCCGCCCTAGACGCCTCCTACGACATGCGCCTGCTCCAATCCCACCTTCCCGCCATCCGCCCGGGCTGTCTGCGCGTGCTGGCCATCACGACGGCGCTCCTGCAGCGCGCTGCTGCAGCGGGGATGACTCTGGCGGGGATCGGCGCGCTGATGACGCGCGAGGTGCAGGGCCGCGAGGAGCGCCCCAGTGACCTGGAACTGGCGTGCTGGGAGGCGCTGCAGGTGGTGGCGCGGGGGATGGGCCGGGAGATGGGGCGTGGGGTGTATGGGAAAGGGGAGGGGGAAGGGGAGGGGGAAGAGGGGGGAGAAGAGGAGGGCATGTGGAGGGTGGGGAGTGGGAGTGAGGGTGAGGATGGAGTGGAGGGGGGGATTGCTGAGGAGAGTGGTGGGGAGGGGAGTGAGGAGGAAGGGAGCGAGGAAGGAGGAGACGGAGATTGGGAGTGTCCTAGTTGGGCTGTGGACGGTGGTGAGTGTGACGAGGCAGCATCAGGGGCTGCAGCAGGCGCGGCACCTACAGCTGGTGGTGCTGCTCTCAGTCGCTGCAGCAGCTTGCAGCAGCAGGTGCTGTTTGCCCCTAAGCCTGGATGGCGATGGGCGGACGAGGCGGATGATGATGATGCTGATGACGATGCTGATGAGGCTGCTGCTGCTGCTGCTGATGCGAGCAGTAGCGATGTTGCTGGCAAAGGCGGGGAGAAGGCTCTGGAGGGAAGCACGGCGGTCCTTGCAGAGCGGGAAGGCTGGGGAGGAAATGACGTGCATCATGCTCACACCTTCGACGATCATCCCGATCTTCCCGATCATCCCGATCATCCCGAAGCGGACGGTGCTGGTGATGGTGATGTGAGGAGTCCCCACGGCGAGCAGTTCCACTTTGACGACGACGAGCCTGCCTTCCTGCAATCCTCATCCATCATCACCTCCACCACAACCACCATCACTGCTGCTGCTGCTGCTACCGCCGCCGCTGCTGCAGCCACCTCGTCCCTGCCTCGCCCTGCGTCCCTGCGCTTCCTGGACCCGTCCGTCGGCATGTCTCCCTGCACAAGCGCGCCACTGCTCGACATCCTCCTTCCGCCAGGAGCCACCTGCAGCCCTGCTCTACCTGCTCTCCCTGCCATGTGTTCCGATGATCCCGTTCGCTCGGCCCTCTGCTCTGGCTTCGCCTCCTCTGCGTCCTCCAACCAGCACATGCTGCTGCCTGCACTGCCGTCTCTCCCTTCTCTTCCGGCTCTCGAGCTCTCGCCGTACCTCTCGCCCCTCTCTCTGGCTGCGCCTACTGGCAGCTGTGACTCGCTGCTGCTTGCTCAGGGGCAGGTTGCTGATGAAGGCTCGCTGCTGCTGCAGGGGACGGTCCTGTCTCTGTCTGTGTCTTTCCCTGCGTTCACTGCGCACGGAGATGATGCTGCTGGCACGGGCTTTACTGGCAGCTTCAGGGCGTGGAACAGCAGCAGCGGCAGCAGCACCAGCAGCACCAGCAACAGGAGTGGTGGCGAGGGGTTCAAGCCGGTCTCTGATGCTGAGTGCGATGGTCTGACTGGTTCAAGATCAGCTGGGGCGGTGGAGGGGAAGGAGGAGCAGGAGGAGCGGGAGGGGCGAGAGGGACAGGAGCCGGAGGAGGGGGAGGAGATGCTAGTCGTGCGTCGCTTCTCCCTGCCATCAGCCCCTCTTTCCTGCTCTGCTACAAGTTCACCTTTTGCTGCAACCCCTGTGCTGCTCTCGTCGTCGTCCTCCTCCTTCTCCATTGATCCCACCACCAGCACCAGCAGCAGCAGCAGCAGCAGCAGCAGCTTTGCAACACGCCCCACCCGCCTCTCCTCCCGCTCTCCTTCCGCCCGCACCCCCTCCTCGTCCTCCTATGCCCCCCCGTCCCACCTGGCTTCCAGGGCTCTACACCGCCGACCAGTGGGGCTGGCGCGACAGGCAGGTAATGCAGCGGGGAAGGGCAGCGTGCGGATGCAGCGGCAGCAGCTGCTGCAGGATCAGCAGCAAGAGGGGTGGCAGGAGGGGGTGGGAGGGATTGCAGGAGGAGCGGGAGGGGGCACAGGGGCATGGATGGGAGAAGAAGGAGACGCACGAGGGGTGGCAGGAGGGTTAGCAGCAGGGGTAGCAGGGGCAACAGCAGGGCCCGGAGAATGGATGGATTTGGGACAGTTGAGTGAGGAGGCGTGGGCGGTGTTCCTGCGCGTGCTGGAGGGCATTCTGGAGGAGCTTATAGAGCGCCGCTGCGGCGACTGCGTCACGCGCAGGCTGCACTTTGGCACCTCCTGCCGCTTCTGACCACCACCAGACCAGACCAGACCACCGCTGCCTGACCTGAGCAATTGCCCTGCTGCTGCTGCCATTGCTGCTGGTGCGATACTGTGGAGCTCAAGGATTGCTCTGCTCTACATCCTCCCTCCCTTGTGTGGTTTCCTTCCGGCCGGCCTGCCTGCCTGCCTGCCCTGCCCAATCAGCGGCTGGTAACTAGTGGCATTTTTCCTGATCTGCTTTCTGCCTGCTTGTATCTCGTTGCTCTGGGCTGCTCTGGGCTTAACGTTCTTTTGTGCCATACGAGAGACTGGAGGAGCCATAGCGTGTAAGTTTGCTTGCCATTTGTTTGGAGAGAGGGTCCTTGTCGTGTCGAAGCAATGCATGCAAGTTGGTGTTTGCCTGCTTTAGCGTGTAGCCGTTGGCCGTATGGTTGTGCGTAGGGTATATGTCTGCTCTGCATGCACATGTCTTGGTGTTCATGCCGTTTGCTTGTATTTGTATGTATCTCTACTATCTAGGTTGCATTGCACGAATGTACTCCAAGGCTAAAATTCTGAGAGCTTCATCAGTGTGCTGAACTGTATGCTGGTCATGCTTCTGCAGTGTTATGAAAGGACTACACTTGGCTGTCGTACATGCTATTCATGTGTAAGTCTACATTCACATTAGCTGCCATGGCTTTGTATACCAGTACCATCCTACTCTACACCGCAGCATTGAGCCTATGGCCACTGCAACAACTCAGATATCAAGCTAATACAGCAAAGCTACCCCTCACTCCACCCAACCTAACCCCTCCCCTTCCCTCCCCTTTCCGCATGCATCAGTCCTCCCCGAAGTACCTGTCCTCCGCATCCCTATTCGCCTGCACCATCCTATCATCCAGTCATCCTGCAAGCTCTCATCCCAGTCATCATCCAAGCGCCCATTCCCCACATCCGCCTCTTCTACACACATGTCCCAGCCCAGCCCCGAGCACACCTCATCATCACTCCTCATCAGTCCTCATCAGTCCTCCCCAAAGTACCTCTCCTCAGCATCCCGATTCGCCTCCACCATCCAGTCATCGTCCAAGCTCTCATCCCCGTCGATGCGCCCATAGTCCACCTCTGCCTCCCTCCCTGCCAGGAACCGCTCCTTCATCGCCCACCGCAAGTCCTCCAGTGCCCCCTCCCGCCCCTCCTGCCCTTCCCATCCCTCCTGCCCCTCCTGCCCCTCCTGACCCCCCTGTCCCTCTCGCTCCTCTTCCTCTTCCTCCTTCCTTTTTCCTGCCGCTGCATCTCCTCTCATGTCACCTCTTCCCTCCTGAACTTCTGCCTGCCCCCTAGCTTCTCCTGCATGTCTACCACTGTCTCCAACGACTCCTCTTCTGCCTCCGCTTCCCACCCCCTCCCCTCCTCCCCCTCCTTCTCTTCCTCTTCCATCATCCCCTTCTCCCTTGCTGCCCCCTGCGCCTGCCCTTGATTCTGCCTCTGCTGCTGCACCCTCTGCTGCTCCAGCCTCTGCTGCTGCTGCTGCTGCTTCTACCAATGCCACGTGCCCTCCTGCACCTTCTGCTGGGATTTGACTTGACAACAGCACGGCTGGCTCCTGTTGCAATCTCACGTGTGCTGCATTCCTGATCCTTCCTCCTCCCCCCTCCTGCCCTCCGCACTCCATTCTTGCATGTCCCATGTGCTCTCCCCTGCTGGCATCCCTCCCCCCATGGTCTCTCAATCCTCTTTCTGCGTCGTTCATATCCTCGTCCTCCTCTTCTTCCTCCTCTTCTTCGTCCTCTTCTTCGTCCTCTTCTTCCTCCTCTTCCTCCACCATCTGTGCACCCCTGCCTCGCCCTCTCGCCTCCCCCTCTCGCCCCCTCCTCCCCCTCACCAGCGCCTGCTGTATGGCAATCTCGTCTGTCTGCCGCAGCAGCATCTCCCACAGCCTCTCCCCCGGCCGCGCCACAAACATGCCTTCACCACTCCCCCTCCCGTCCCTGCCAGTCCCGCTCCTCCCCCCGCTCCTCCCCCCGCTCCTCCCCCCGCTCCTCCCCCTGCTGCCCCTCCACCCCTAACACCTGCCCCTTCCTCTGCCCCCCCTGCAGCCCCCCCTCCGGGTGCTCTCCCGAACCCTCCCATATAGTCCTGGTGCAGCAGGGGGTCTCTCTCCCTCATCGCCTCCTCACTGAAAAACAAACCCTCCTGGTGGTGGAAAGGAGTATGGATGGAGAGAGAGGAGAAGGCAACATGAAACCGAATGATTACAAGGGACTAGTGTTTAAAGAACTGCTTGTGTGCCTAGCAGCAGCATGATTGTGTTCGAAGGTTTTAAGTCGTCTCAAAACATAGGTCTGTTTTGAGTCGTCTCAAAACATAGGTGTGTTTTGACTCGACTCAAAACAGAGATGTGTTTTGAGTCGCCTCAAAACAAAGGTGTGTTTTGAGTCGTCTCAAAACATAATAACCAAAGGGACTAGTGTTCACAGAAGTGCTTCTGTGCACCTAACAGCAGCATGATGGTGTTGGGGAGGGGAGGCGGGAGTCGTAAGGAGAGGAGCAGAGGTCAAAAACCAAACAAGCAGAAGAGCACGTCCTATGCGGAACGAGGCAAGCGCGGAACAACCTTACATCCCTGGTGGACGCATGATGAAGGGGTCAGACAGACAGACAGACAGACAGACAGACAGACAGACAGACAGACAGACAGACAGACAGACAGACAGACAGACAGACAGACAGACAGACAGACAGACAGACAGACAGACAGACAGACAGACAGACAGACAGACAGACAGACAGACAGACAGACAGACAGACAGACAGACAGACAGACAGACAGACAGACAGACAGACAGACAGACAGACAGACAGACAGACAGACAGACAGACAGACAGACAGACAGACAGACAGACAGACAGATGGACAGACAGACAGACAGACAGACAGACAGATGGACAGATGGACAGACAGACAGACAGACAGATGGACAGATGGACAGACAGACAGACAGACAGACAGACAGACAGACAGACAGACAGACAGACAGACAGACAGACAGACAGACAGACAGACAGGCAGAGGGACGGAGGGACGGAGGGGCGGGCGGGCGGGCGAGCGGGCGGGCGGGCGGGCGGGCGGGCAGGCAGGCAGGCAGGCAGAAAAACAAACAGAGGAGGACGCCCTCACGACGTGTCAGGAAAAAGGGGGCACGGAAGAGCGCACGAGCGTACCCGCTCAAGGCGCGTCAAGAAGGCGAGGCGGCGGTTCTTAACCACAGTGGCGTGAGACGGGTGCGGGGACGACGGGTGGCCAGCCGGACGCAGCTGGCGGCGGGGGGAGGATGGGGAGGGAGAGAGTGTGGAGGAGAGCGAAAGTGAGAGACAGGGGGAGGACGGGAGTGGAGGAGGAAGGAGAGAAAGGAGGAAAGTGGGGGGGAGAAAAGGCGGATTCTTAGAAGTTGTTCCTCCGTTTTTCTCCCTCCTTTTTCTCTTAGAAGACGTTCAGGGGACGAAGGGCAGGAAGAGGGCCACACGCACTCGTAGCACTGGTGCTGCTCATAGCAGCGCAAGTGTTCATTGTTCAATCAGTGTGTCAGTGTTGTGTGTTCAGTGTGTCAGAGTTGTGTGTTCAGTGTGTCAGTGTTGTGTGTTCATTGTGTCAGTGCAGCTCTATTGCGCCCGCCATGCCGTCGTCATACATACTCACTCGCCGCATGTGCCATGCGATCTCATAGTCCCCCGCCATGCCGTCGAACGCCCCCAGCTCCTCCTCCCGCAGCAAACCTCCGTACCGCTCTGCATACCACACCGCACCACACCACACCACACCACACCACACCAAACCACACCACACCACACGGGCAACGGCACGCAGCACACGGCCCACGAGGAACGCCGGTGGGAAGGTGGTGGATGTCGAGAGAGGAGACGGGAAGAGGGAGAAACGCGAGAAGCGAAATAGGAGGAAGAGAGGGGAGAGGGGAGACGCGGCACCGGCACGAGTGGGGCACTTAGAGTGCAGTCTAGAGGATGGGATGGTAACGACGACATTGGCACAAACGACTTTGGCGAAGTGGTCTTCTTGGTACCTAGGAACACCGCCGGATCGCGCTGCAAAAGGGAGGCGAGGTGGTCCTTCTTCTCGCCGCAAGTCACGGCGTCGCCGCGGCTCTCCATCGCATGCGGCAGTCGCAGGTCCGCCACCAGCGACAGGCGCTCGCTCAGGCGCTCCACCTCCGCCGCCGGAACCCCCCCGCTTGCCCCCGCGCCCGCGGCATCTCTCCCCATGGCCGCGGAAAGAGAGGCGTGCGGAGAAGAACGGGTTGATCAGGGAACGGGATTCTGAGCAGAAGAGAAAGTCTGGACTGGAGCAGCAGGACAACTGAAAAGAAAGAGGTAGGAGGTTGCGTGACAGAACGGGATGGCAGATGAGGGAAATCTGTGCTGGTTGGACAAATATACTAGTTCAAGAGCGGCATCGTTTTGCGGCATACTCTGCCCTTGCAGAATGTTCCGTGGCTATGCGACTACGTGTAACAACCTTATACAAGCAAACATTTCCAAGCAAACAACCTTATAATGGGTTCTGATATTTCTTATATTTCCAAGAGTTGAAGATAAAAAAGATCGATACATTTTGGTTCGGGAAACAATTCTAGTCAAACTGTCATAGCTTAATCAAACACAATTTGAACTACAATACCTACACTGCAACCAGCTTGTGCAATCAGCTTGTAAGGAGAAGATTTCTCACCTGTTACAGCGCAGGGCAAAACCATCACAGCTGTTTCGGTGCCCCCTCGAGCCGCAACATTTTCGCGCGAATTTCCTCGCGCACCTGATATTTGGAATTCGCAACAGCGCAGGGAGGTGCTCCCACCCACCACCAACAACATTGCAGCTGGCAGAGATGCGGAACGGCGAAGTTTGCAAATTCGCACTGCTGCTCGCCTAACCCCAGAGAGTCGTTGCCGCATGAGAGCAGCAAATGTGCGCTGTCTGTTGGATTCCAATTTCCATCCAAGCATCACCGCATCGCCTGCATCTGCTCGACTACAGTACAGTAGCTTGGACCGTCTGTGATGCACTTCGACATTCGCAGTTCGCGCTGTCGGACTTGCATGGAGAGCAACAGCTGCACGCCGAGGGGGACTGCCAATTCTAATCGAGCCGTGACTCGTGATCCTTGATGCCCTTTCTCTTCGTTAGCTGCCATCTTCCCGTGTTTCCAGCTGCCTTATCGTCAGCTGCTTTCATCCACCTCTTCTAGACGTTCGAATCGAATGCTTCTCGCATTCAACAGCAGTAGGCTCTGGTAGCGGAGCGAGCGACAACAGGGCAGCGCTCCTGAGACGTCAGGGAACAAGGGGGGTAGTATTAGCTTTTTTTTTTCAGCAGAACCAGCCGTAGTAACTGGTTTACCGCAGCCTCCATAACTCTTCGTATCGTCAGCTCGCTTTTCCTGCCAATAAGCTTTTTCCGACTGGAGAGGATAACATCAGCATGGAGTACGCGGAAGGCCCGTATGGCACCCCACGAGCAGCGCAAATGCGCTCCAACCCGCATTCTCCTCCCCCTCCCATTCCAGCCATAGCCGTTGGCCACCTCTCCCCCACAATACCCGCGCACCCTAGACTCCCCGACTCCTCCCCCTCCCCCGTACGCACCTCCAGCTCCTCCGTCTCCCTCTCCTCTTCCTCCTCCCTCCCCCCCTTCTCCCCCTGCCCGACGCCCCCGCCGGTCCTACCTGGCAAAAAGCCCACTTCCGACGCAACCGGCGGCGAAAAGCCACCCGATCGGAAGCTGTGCACGTGCAAGCCGCCGTTGAAACTCTCCGAGGGGCTAAACCTCCCGTGGATCGGTCCAGTGCGGTGGCTGGACCCGCTCCGCTGGCTGCTCGCGGGCGTAAAAAACCCTCTGAATGTCGTCACGCTCGTGATGGTGGCGTCCATGGCGGTCGTTATCTCGCTGAATTTCTCCGCCATGGCGCACATCGCGCTGGCGATGGGCGTGCTGGAGAGCGAGTGGGAGGAGAAGCTGTGGCAGGAGTTTTGCAACCAGATCCTCAACGCCGTCGGCACGCTGGGCTGCCTCGTCGTGCACCCGCTGCGATGCTACTACCTCGTGCGACTCTGGCGATGGAGTCGCGAGGACGTCGCCAGCCTTCGCGCGGTGCTCTCGGCGGCCGGGCCGTTTGTCGCGAAGCCCAACGAGCGGTGGCATCTGGGCGTGGTGCTGATTCTCCTCCAGCTAAATTGCTTCGGCCAATACGCCATCGCGCTTTTCATGTGGTTCGTCTTGGAACCCGACCGTCCTCTCGTTCTCCTCGGTTTCATCGTGATCATCGCGCTCGGCTCGCTTATCGCTGCCGGGATCTACTGCTCCTGGAGCCCCCTCGGCTGGCCTACTGGCTCTAAGCCTGAGAAGAAGAAACGGAATGGCGGGAAATCTGGCGGGCGTGTCGTGCCCGTGACGAGCGCCGAGGAAGACGGCGGGGTTGTCGCTGGTGGCGCGACGGGAGAGACGGGGGGAAGTTTGTGCGGGAAGTGCGGCGGGGTGCTGTGCGACAGCGCGACGGATGACGACGAGGGCGATGACATGGATAGGGTCGCGCAGAAGCACGGGCTGTACGTGCGACTGGACGACGCGGGCGCGGGGGGGAATCAGAATACGCGCGAATGGAAAACGCCCACGTGGCAGCCGATGGGGGAGCTGGCGCGGCCGCAGTGGCAGGGATCGCAGCTAGACTGCTGCGCGGACGGCCTAGGGTCGGCGGTACGCACCGCGCTCTGCTGCTTCTGCGTGCACGGGAGGAACGTGGAGCGAGCTGGGTTCGGCAATAAGATCGTTCACACGGCCATGTTTATCTTCTTTGTCTTCGGCCCTATCGTGATTTTTACGCTGGGTTCTCGGCCGATCAACAGTGTACCCATGCAGTGGATCGTGTTCGGCTTGGGTGTTCTTACAACGATTGGCGGGGTGACGTATGGGGGGTACTGGCGGTGGAAGGTGCGGCGTACGTTCCTGCTGCCGGAGGAGGAGTGGTGCTGCGGGCACAAGGCGGCGACGGACTTTGCGGCGTGGTACGTGCTGCCGTGCTGCTCGCTGTGCCAAGAGGTGCGTACCGTGCGCCACTACAGCCTCCACATGCTCCCGCACCTGCCGGACCAGGGGGGGGAGCAGAGAGGGGCAGGGGGCCAGGGGAAGGAGATCATGGTGCAGACAATGGCACCTACTTCTATTTGCATGGAGCCCTGCGCGATTGGAGTGAATTTATAGCAACTTCTTATGTGTGATTATGCCTGAAATTGGTTGGTTGAGGATTTCTCCTACCACTCATTCAACTAATTATGTTGTTGCTGTTGATGACAAATAATTTATCTATATATGCCCATACGCTTTCACGCCGTGAAAACCACTTCCCAACAATCACTGCACTTTCTGCAATGGTATGCAAGAAGTTCAGATGGAAGCTTTCAAAGCGCATTTGGAAGGTATTTATAGAAAAAGAAACAATTAACAATTAAACAGCCTAGGTTCATGGTACGGTAAGAAAATGGTGTTGGGGGGGGGGGGGGGAAGGGAGGGGGGGCTGCTAACTGGGTTACTAAATAAGGTGAGCAGAGGCTGACATTGGTAAGGCTAGCACCTTAGCACCTTAGGACCTGCCGGCCCATGCTGTGGCGTGGTTGCACGAGTGCGTGATGGCGTGCACCCACGAACACGGAGGTTGGTGATGACGTACAGTGCAGGAGGCCCTTTTGCACTCAAGAGGGGAGGACGGACTCGCAGAAACGCACCAGCCTGCTGCTGCACCGTTTGTGTTAACAGCATCACTGCCTGTGATGGTGGGTGATGATGGTGGTGGAAATGGTTTCTTGTGATGGCGGTGGTGCTGGTGGTCGTTGTGATGATAAGGATTATCCTGCTGCTGCTGCTTCTTCTGCTGCTGGTGCTGCTGGTGGATGGCACTGCTGCTACTGCTGCCAACCCTCTGAAGTCGGTTCTTCTACCAAGAACCTGGGCCCTACCTCCCAACCTCCCATCACAACCCTACCACCCTTACCACACCTACTGCCCACCGTAACCAGCCCTTGTACAGCGCAATCAGCTAATCCCTCTCCACAATAGCCCCCACCCCCCCTGCTCTACCTTCCTCTCAATCCGCCATATCCACGATCATCGCCTTCTGAGGCGCCTCAAAACTCGTCCGTCCTATCACCATCCCGTCACTCCGCCATGGCGACAGTCATCGGCGTCGCCTCCATGCACAGCGTCCCCGGTGCGCCCATCACCAGCACACCCCCCTCTGCGCTTCCCCCCTCCTTCCCCGGCCCGTCCGGGATCTCTAGTCTTAAGTTGTACCGCCGCACGGTGCGCACCTCCTGGCACAGCGCGCAGCACGGCAGCAGGTACCACGACGCGAAGTCCGTCGCCGCCTCGTGCCCGCAGCACCAGTCGCTCGCGGGCAGGTGGAAATTTCTCCTCAGGTACCACCGCCAGTAGCCCGCGTATGTGAGGCCCAGAACCGTAGAAATCACTCCCAGGGCAAACACAAAATTTTGCATGTGACCGGGGGGGAGGATGGCAGAAGCAGGGCCGAACATAGCCATGGGCCCGACTAGGAAGAGAATAAACATGGCCGTGTGAACGATCTTGTTGCCGAACCCCGCTCGTTCCGCGTTCCACCCGTGCACGCAGAAGCAGCAGAGCGTGGCGGCTACCGCCGTCCACCCGTCCGACCAGCAGTCCAGGAGCCCGCCCTGCCACTGCGGCCGCAGCGCGCCTCCCACCGGCTGCCACGTGGCACGACGCCACTCGTTGAGGTCGTCCGCGTCCTTGCCCTTGCCGCCCTTGCCGCTCTTCCCGTCAACCGCGCCGCAACCCGCGGAAACCTTGCCCCCTCCGCAAACCTCGCACCGCTGCGACAGCAGCCCCTCGCTCTCGCGACCCGCCTCCTCATCCCACTCGCCGCATTCCCCGGCCGCAGCGCCGCGCCGCCCCGTAGGCTGCGGCTTGGCGCCCGTGGGCCACCCGAGGGGGCTCCAGAGACAATAAAGCCCAGCGGCGATGACGGACCCTAGTGCGAAGAGCGCGAGGCAGCCGAGGAGCGCCATGGGGCGGGAGACCATGTCGGAAGTCCACATAAAATACGCGATCGCGTATTGGAAGACGCAGTTGACTTGGAGTAGGAACACGACGAAAGCGATGTGCTGCCACTCCTTGGGCTTGCGCACGAACGGGCCGGCTTTAGACAGCATCGCGCGCAGACTCGCCGCGTCTTGCGGGCTCCAGCGGAAGACCTGGAGCACGTAGTAGCAGCGCAAGGGGTGGACTAGGAGGCTCCCCAGCGTGCCGATCGCGCAGAGCACCTGATTGGACAGCTCGAACCAGAGCTCCGCCTGCGGCTGCGTGAGGATGCCGAGGAGGAGCGGGATTTGGGAGATTATGGCGCAGTTGATTCCGACCATTGCGCTCGCGAGGGAGACGGTGCAGAGGGTCATCACGTTGAGCGGGTCGCGCACGAATTCGCGGAGAAAGCGCGGCGGGTCCGACCACCGGACCGCGCCGAGGAACGGGAGGTTGAGGCCCTCGGATAGGGGGAGCTTCTGCGCGGACGGGCGCGGTTCTTGCGCGGATGGCGCAGTCCCCGCGGAGGTGGAGCTGCAGCAGCAGCGGAAGGCGGAAGAGTCGTCGGTTTGCGCGCGGAGTTTGGCGAGGGAGGCTGAAGGGGAGCGGGGGGAGAGGTGGGGGATGGAGGAGGAGGAGGATGAGAGGGAGAGGGATTCGGAGGAGGAGGGGCTCTGGAGGTCGGAGGAGGAGAGAGTGCTGTGAGCGGGAATGGAACGGGTGGTAGGTATGGGGATCGACATGCCTGTGGATGATGAATGCGGCGCCATGGCGGGTTCGCTGAGCACCTTGAGCTTTGGTCTGCTTGTGGAATTGGCACTCGAGCCCGCGGACGGACGAGAAGTGTGCTCAAGTAGCGCGGATGAAGCTGGCTGTTTGGGAGATGGTAGGAGGAGGCCTGTGCAGGTGTGCTCCTGAGAGCAATCTGAGCTAGTTGCGATTGTGCCTCAGCAAGTTCTGCAACGGACTGCGGTACCTTGCGTTGTGTTGAGATTGAGAGCTCCAAAGAACTACGTAAGTGTGGATGATGGACGGGAGGGAATGTGAGGAACGGCTGAAGAATTTCTCGTGTGGTGTGTGGTTGCTAACTGGCTACGCATTGGAATTCTGAAGTCTGGGAGACCTTGCTTCATTTTGTACCTCACTTCGGTTTGTATCAACCCAGCCCGCTGCCCGAACCTAAATTTCAATTCCTGTGCGCCAGGCTCGCTCGCGCGCTCCACCCCACATTCGCCCCTTTTCCTCCACATTCCCCCCACCTCCGCCTTTCCCCCGCACATGAGCCTCGTGCGGCTAGGTCACTTGGTGTGAGGCATGGCGCGCGACGGTTGTGCCGTCGAGGCGCGCGGTGATGGTTCGGAACAGCCGTTGTACGTGAAGATTCACCAGGGGGGCTGGGGGGAAGGGGAGCAAGGCAACAATGGGGAACCTGGTTCGGAGAATCCACAGATTCGGAAAGTAGTTCATTGGGGCGAAGGGCGAAGAGAGGCGGGGTGGGGTGGGGTGGGGTGGGTGAAGGGGGCCTTGGAGCTGGGAAAGTGACAAGGGAAAACGCCTGCGACCGATGATGTCGCGACGTGACAGCCCGCGGACCGCGTTACCGGAGCTCGTTTCTCCTCCGTCCGTCCGTCCGTTCCCCTCGAATTGAAACATCCACCGTCCCTGGCACGAACCATCCTAGCTGCGAACCCACCGCCAACCTATTCCACAGGTTTAGCGAAAGCAGGCGAATTCGCACAACCAAATTCCAAAGCTGCGAGCACTCCATGTTACGGGTACATGAAAACCCACACACTATTTTCATCACCTTATAGCATGAAACCTGAATGTTGGAACAAGTACCGCTCGTGTCATGTGCATGGCTTCATAAGTCACGACAAAATGCCCTGAAATGCTGTATAGCATGGTGTTTTTTTTAGGTTCTTCCTGCTTTTTTTCAGCTTTTGATTTTCCCTAGGCCTGGATTTTAGGGGTTCTCATTTGAGCAGGCCTGGAATATTGCATGTTCTTGTTTTGGTCACCCTTAATTATCAGCCTTACATGATTTCCAGCCTGAAACAGAGTCTTCTCGGTACCCCGACAATCATGGATGGAGCACGTTTGAGGGGCGTGATTGGTCCTTGACCAAAATCACACCTCTCGTCACAGAGCACCTGCGAAGAGGCTGGTCCTTAGTCACAACTACAAGCAGATTTGTGAAACTGTAGGTGTGCTGGAACAGCTATTAGAGTCAGGATTGGTCCTTGACAAAGTCAAGAGGTTTATGTTAAAATTATATAAGTTATAATTTTATATAGGCTTGGTAGGTTGCTACTGAACCTTTCTGTAGGGGGTACAAACCCCTCCTTGTACTCCCTTCTCTTCCTAATCCATCACTCTTTCTTCTCGACTTTCCTCCTACTCCTAGATCCGTTTTTCCTAGCGCCGTTCCATGGCGGCCTTGCTCCTATCCTAGCTAAGCTAGTGTCCTAACTTTAGGGACCTAGCATCCTAAGTTCTTAACATGGTATCAGAGCAGGAGATCCTTCCTGCTGGACTGCCTCCTCTCGCTTCCGCCATTTACTCCTCACCCTCATTCACTCCAGCGGCCATGGCGGCCGCGTTTTGCTGCAGTGGCGACGTCGCGCTGCCACTGGGCGCGTCGTGCCGCGACCGGCCCGACGCGCTGCCGCGGAGTCGGGCCGTCGTTCTGCAGTCGCAGCGTCGACGCCCCGCTGCGGCATCGACGCTGCCATGGCGGCCGCGGCGGCGTCACGCTCTGGCGTCGTCGTCTGTTCGCCGGCTGCGCCGTCCTGCCGCGGCCGTCTCGACACGCGACCGGGACGACGTCAGCGCGACGCCGCGGCTGCGCCCCTCCTGGGCCTCGTCGCGCCCTGCCTGGCCCCGTCGCCCTCTGCCCGGCCCCGTCGCCCCCTGCCAGGACGCCGTCGTCCCGCCTGTAAGCGCCGCGCCATTTATGGCGCGACGCTGAAGACTCGCCCCGCCCCCCCCGCCCCCCCCCCCCCCATTCTCCCTTCCCCTGCGTCTTCCCTTCCTCCTGTCGCAGCTGCTGTCTTCTGCCCGGACGTTGCCACATCGCCGAGAGCCCTCAGCCACGGCAGTCGCCGCCTGTCGTCGGCGACCCAGCCGCCTTGAGCCAGAGCTCCGCGGCTGCTTGTCGCTGACCCGCCTAGACGCCGTCGGCTGCCTCGTGTACGGGGGTGTGTCAACGCTTTGCCTGAGGGTCAGATACCCGGCTAAGCACGAGCCTGAGGGTGTGCGGGGTTAGGGGGTGGGTTGGGTGCGGGTGTGGGGGTGTGAGTGGGCTTGACACTACCAAGCCTAGGGGGTGTGTTAAAATTATATAAGTTATAATTTTATATAGGCTTGGTAGGTTGCTACTGAACCTTTCTGTAGGGGGTACAAACCCCTCCTTGTACTCCCTTCTCTTCCTAATCCATCACTCTTTCTTCTCGACTTTCCTCCTACTCCTAGATCCGTTTTTCCTAGCGCCGTTCCATGGCGGCCTTGCTCCTATCCTAGCTAAGCTAGTGTCCTAACTTTAGGGACCTAGCATCCTAAGTTCTTAACAGTTTACCAACCAATCGGGGGTCGAGTAACGAGTTACTGCCGAGCAACCGCTACCGGCCAGGCCGACGATGCACATGTCTTTCCATCGCGCTGGCATGCATGCTGTCAAAATAGCTAGCTAGGAAGAGTAGCCATGGAATGGCGTGAGGTTTAGGAAGGAGAAAAATATCGGCAGAGAAGAGAGTTGGAATAGAAGAGAGAGGGATACAATAAGAAGGGGGTTGTACCCTTTACAGTAGAATCCAATAACATCTACCAAGCCTACCATTATATTATCATAATTAGTGAAGTGAATAATCGATAGAGTGAGAGTACACACAGATATACCTAAGTGTTGTACCCTCTAAGAGGCTACCCTATACAGTCTATACAAACATGACAAATACACATGTTCGATACACCCCCTAGACTGCATAGGGGAATGTCCTAAACAAGCAGCTCAGGGCGGCACTACTAGTCCAACCTCTGAGACAAGGGTCTGAGAGACCAGTCAGAAGGAGTACAGACAAGGCAAGAACAAGAGCAGGGCGGCACTACTAGTCCAGCCACTGGGAGAGGACACAAGTCCAGTCTGAGTATACGTATAAAGGACAGTACAAAGTCAAGGTCCTAGCAAGTGAGAGGCTACAGGAACTAGACCAAGCTGTACACAGTGCCGCTGATGATCTTTAGGCGCAAGCGCATTCGTAAAGATATCAGCCGTGTTGGCACCTGAGGCCAAGTGTACTACGCGAGCCTGACGTCGCTGCTGTAGCTCACGCAGGAGGAAGTACCGCAGCTGAATGTGCTTTGCTCTGCCCTCGAGTCGAGGCTCTTGACACAGGAGGATCATGGCCCTGTTGTCAGCGAACAGGACCGGGGCAGAGCTAGGCCGCTCACCTAAGTCAGTGAGCAAGAAGGTCAGCCAGCGGAGCTCCTGTGCCGCCATGGCACCAGCGTAGATCTCAGCCTCACAGCTGGACTGCGCAACAGACGAGGAGCGGGTAGCTCTCCACGCGACGGCACCTGAGCCAAGGCTGAAGCAGTAGCCCTAGGTAGACCTGAGTGTCTCAGCGTCGTCTGCCCACGAAGCGTCTGTGTGTCCAGTAAGGACCACTGGCCTGCGTCCTCCTAGCACTAACCCCATGCCCGATGTACTAGCAAGATAACGCAGAACCCTCTTAGCGGCAGACCAGTGCTGCGGTCGGTATCTGCCGGTGGCCACAAAGCGAGCCAGGATGCTGAGAGGGTATGCGAGATCAGGGCGAGTGCAAGTCATCAGGTACATGAGGCAACCCACCAGCTCTGCGTAGGGGCCGCTGGGCTCTACCAACTCCTCAGACACTGGAGCGGAGAGTCTGTGGTCTACAGGCAGAGGGGTGGGCTGTGCAGAGGAGAACTGAAGGCCGAACCTCTGAAGGACCTGGCGCACCAAGTGTGACTGAGTCAGGGTGATGGTGCGCGCAGCTCTGTCCCTGGAGATCTGCAAGCCAAGGTAACGGCGCAGTTCTCCAAGGTCAGTGCACGTATGTCTCTTCAGCAGCTCTGCCTTCACGGAGGTCAGTGCGTCCCTGTCTGCTGTGGCAAAGACCAGGTCGTCGACGTAAACAAGGATGTAGAACGGAGTCTGGCCAGCACGAACGAAGAGTGAAGGGTCTGCGGAAGACGGAAAGAACTGCAGGTCAGCAAGCGTAGCACGGAGAGTGTCGTGCCACTCACGGGGAGCCTGGCGCAGGCCGTAGACGGGGCGCCGCAGGAGCCACTGGGTCCCAGGAGGGAAGGTACCAGTAAAGCCCTAAGGACGACGCAAGTAGACCTGCTCGTGTAGGCTGCCCTGAAGGAAGGCAGTGGAGAAGTCGAGGAAGTGGAGCTCGTAGTCACGCTGAGCAGCTAGGTATAACAAAACCCGAAGAGTAGTCATCTTCGGGGTCGGAGCGAAGGTCAGGAAGAAGTCTACCCCCTCACGCTGACTGAAGCCTCTAGCCACATAGTGCACCTTGAAGACAGGCGGCTCTCCAGGAGGGCGCTTCACCTTGAAGAGCCAGCGGCCATCGACTACGTTCACCCCAGGTGGGGGAACTGCATCGACGAAGGTGCCGGTGGATCTCCAAGATGCCATCTCCTGCTCCATGGCAGCTATCCACTACGAGGCCCAGGGTCCCGAAGTCGCCTCAGCGTAAGTGCGAGGGGTCAGGATGTCGAAAGCGTCTGGGTCACCCTCAGGGACTAGCAGCATGGAACAGAGATGGGGAGCAGCATGGAACAGAGATGGGGAGCAGCCTCGGACAGGAAAGCAAGCTCGAACTGGCGGTCCTCCAGGACGTCATTGCCAAGGGCAGGAGCACCCCCGACAGACGGAGGACAGGCAGGGTCAGAGACCAGAGCGGAGGCGTAGTCAAGGCGGCGGATAGAGGCGAAGTCAGCGACAGCAGCGACAAGAGCGTCAAGGCACGAGGCCGGAACAGACGGGTCGGTAACGAGAGAGGCAAGGACCCGAGGAACAAGGGGACGAGCGGCACGAAGGTAGTCAGACAGCGGGGGGGGTGCA